ATTCCGTAAGATCTGACTCAGGAATGGTTGCTGGCATGACATCCTCGTGTCTTGCTCTTCAAAGAAGCAAAAGCTCTCCTTGGGTACAAACAACTTCAAGAATAAAAGGTGGGCAGAACACTGAAATTCACTGATGAATAAGGGTGATAAGAGAAGAATGGGGATTTTTTTCTTTCTTCATGACAGATCCTCAAGGCAATTTGCCAACCATACTACACAGGAGAGAGGGGGGAAAGGCACAACAACATACCATGATCTATTCACAATGATTGAATAAAAGAAAGTTCACTTCTATTGATTTCAAGCACAGGCTATTTAAAAGATTCTCAGTGTAATTTACACAGGAGTACACTTTGATCTGTGAAACAGATGTACTTATGAAATGTTGCATGGTACCTGATAATATTTTGAAATACCCAAAAAGAAGTCATTACATAAAATAATCCCTACTGAAGAATTCCTAATAAAACTAATAACAATGATGGAATTTATTCTTTCTGTACTTTGGATTTTCATCCTCTGGAAAAGTTTAAAATGTAGAACAGGGGCGCCTGGGTGGCTCAGTTGGTTAAGCGACTGCCTTCAGCTCAGGTCATGATCCTGGAGTCCCGGGATCGAGTCTCACATTGGGCTCCCTGCTCAGCGGGGGGTCTGCTTCTCTCTCTGCCCTCTTCCCTCTCGTGCTGTCTCTCATTCTCTCTCTCTCAAATAAATAAATAAAATCTTTAAAAAAAAAAAAAGAATTTAAAAAAATGTAGAACAGTAGTATAAAGGACAACACAATGTTACTTACAATAAAACCAAAGGTTCCCTCTGTGTTGGCATACCATGCCTGCCAACTGGGAATTCTGGAGCACTATCAGAATCTCATCTTGCTTTACGAGCCAAATGCAAAATTTGCAACATGAGGTGAACCAGACAAATATAAGCCTAATTTCATCAACCCTCTGTGAGATGGCTTCTTACCTGGTTTTTCTAATGAGCACCCTGACTCTAAAGTCAGGTTAAGTCCCCCCATGGTGAAATCTGTGGGTTTTTGAACTCAGATCTTTGTTCAAGAATGACTGAATATACAATGAGCCAATAATGGGAACTATGAATCAATTTAAGGTGAGATCATAAGGATATACAGAGAGTTCTGGAATAAGATTGGAGTTCCTCCTCTCTATGGTTCTGTTGATAACTCTTAACCCGTGTGGCCAACGGAATAGTTAGGACCACTGCCTGCTAAGGTGACCAGCACATCATAAATGCCTACCAAACACTCGTTGAAACCATCAGTGAGGATCTTTTTGTGAATCCTAGTCTGGCTTGCCACCTGGTCTACCTTGTGATGCCTACCTCTTTCTTCAAGGTCCTTATTATTCATTACATGAATTAATATTAATAAACTTTTAAAAAGAGTATCTGGCACATTGTAAGTTTTTTATAAGTACAGTCAAATATAAACAAATAAATAAAATATTACTTGCTTTAAAAGTTGTAGTAGTAAGGGCTGAACCTTGGTACCTGAGTTCTGTGGAAGGCCTTGCTTTTCTCCAACACATGCTTTAGGATATTGTCTGCCAGTTTTCTTGTCCATGAGGGGGATGAAGGTGAGATGTTGTTGCTCACCTTATATCTAGCCTGAATTCCCTACTTTGCCTCTGGGTTTTCATTTCCATTCATGTTCTCTCTGTGGCAATGAATGGAATGTTTTCAATCCCCTTCATCAGGATAAGGCATTTCAGCCTAAGAGATGCCCTGTGCATAGTGGCAGGTAATAGTAGCTCAGAGGGCACTTGATGAGTCATTTCATGCCCCACATCCTGTGAGCTGCACTCGGGCTCAGTCAGGCAGTGAGAGTCCCTTTAACACTGAAGAACCCAACCCACGTTCCTAAAGTTATTCTCCCTAAATGTCACTTCCTGAAGAAGGGAGAGGACAAACACAGCAAAGAATAGAAAATACTGGAGCAAAGTCCAGTTTTGTTATTCCCTGCCCTTTTTCTACTGCAATATATCCAAAAGTGGAGCTTCAAACAAGTAAGGTATGAGGGTACGCTGTCACTGCTATTGGTAAGTACGTTTGTTATTGGTAAGCATACTGATCATAGGTTTTAAGTCCTTGGAATAAACCAGTGAAGCTGAAATAAAAAATTAAACCACAGATTTTCATTCTTTTATTTCTAAACAAAAACACTGGAGTGAAACTACTGAATTTAATGTTTTTACAGGTGTCAAGATGATACATATAGGTCGTACATAGTGTTGTAAAGAAAATAAAATCCAGGGTGTCATTTGATTCTTCTCACTAACATTTGCTTGATATCAATCACAGTTTACTGTTAATAGTTGCCTTACCCATAGTCTTCATTAGACTTTTTTTTTTTTTTTTTTCAGAGCCCTTATCTCTGAGCAGACCTCAGCTGGGGCTGGTATGTTCTACTATTTTAGCTCCAGAGCTTCAGGCCAACTTGGCTGTTGAATTTCTCTCTGGGTTGTTCGTCCTAGATTCCTCACTTCTCTCCATTCTCATCAAAATCAGAGTAAATAACTTTATTTTACCTTTTTAATTTATCACCTAGGAGCATTCTGTAATTTATCCCCCCAAAAATGGACTTCAAACTGCTTTCAGGGCACCTGAGTAGCTTAGTCGGTTAAGCGTCTGACTCTTGATCTCAGCTCAGGTCTTGATCTCAGGGTTGTGAGTTCGAATCCCGCATTGGGCTCCACACTGGGTATGGAGCCTGCTTTAAAAAAAAAAAAAAAAAAAAAACTGCTTTCAAGAAGACTGCCCAGATTTTCCCTTAGACGTAAGTGAAAATTTGGGCAGATTAGATTAGAACAGATTAGAGCCCCCTGTACCTGAGAAAGCACAGACATGGTATGCACTGCCCCCACAGGGAAAGAGAATGCAAATGTGCAAAGGTGTATATGAAAAGCCAGTCTCTGAAAGGCTTTAGCCTCCGGAGTTTGCCTACATTTTATCATCTTAGAGGTTAATATGTGAGTGAGAGGTAGAAAGAAAGACATGGTAGGGGGAAATAGAAAAATAGGGTTAACTACAAAGTTGTGGGTTTGAAATTTTTTACTTTTCTACTTTTCTTTCATTGAAGAGGACAAATGAATGTGTCTTGGTAGGAAAACTTAGTGGGGTAATGAGTTTAAATCCCCCACAGCTCTCTCTGTCCCGTGATGATGGAGGAGAAAGGCTGCAGTGGGTGGGGCCGAAGGGTGCAAGGCAGAGGAAGGTTAGTGGAAAGAGAAATGGAAGGTGAAGGGCCAGAGGAGTTTGAAAGGAGGCAGAAGGACAAAGCAAGTAAAGGGAGAGAATGAGGGAGGCCAGGAGCCAAGGGGTGGGGGTGGCCGCACCTAAAATACACCAAATGTCTCCAATTAAAGCTCTGAAAATAAGACTATGCAGGAAGCACTTTCAAAAGCCACAAAGTTCTCTTCAATTCAAGGGCAAATGAAGAGAGAAAAGTAGCTAAGAACGAGGAGCACGGAAGACAGAAGACAGAGGAAGGAGAGAGCCAAACCTCACCTCCTAATCATTCTGCCTGAGGTGCTAAAAGCATTTCTTTATGAAGTGTGAAGTTTCAGCTGAATGCAAATTCCCAGCATTGGAGACAGTGTCAGGGGCCGCTTATTAGAAACAAAATCTCTTTTTCCTAAACTGAAGAAAATTCTGTTTTTCTATGAGGGCGTCTCTATCTTGAACCACCTAGACTCTTCTTTCATTCATTTACTGGATGCCACCATCATAACAGGAAAAGACAAGGCCAGCCTGACAGATAGTGTGACAACGTCTGTCAGAGACCCTAACCCACTAATCCTGGCCAAGAGCCCACATCTGTAAGTGCTGCCCCAGGAATCACACATGCCCATGGCTACCCTCTTCTCCATCATAAAATTGTACAGAATGTCTCAGTGAGATGATAGGGTTTGAAAATGGCACAATGCATATTTCCCCAACCACGGAGGCAAAGAGGTATATTTCATCAAGAGTACTGCTGTGATCGACAACTAGTTGAAAAAAAAAACCGGATTCCTGCCTCACTCTATATGCATTTAAGTGTAGCAGAAGAAGAACATTTAGAACTTATTTTAGAACTGAGAAGACCTTCTCCACTAAGATTTAAAAACCCAGAAGCCATCAAAAATGATAGGTACATTTGAGGGGTACTGGGGTGGCTTGGTTGAGCGTCCGACTCTTGATTTTGGCTCAGGTCATGATGTTGGGGTTGTGACGGATCAAACCCCATTTCGGGCTCCGCACTCAGCACGGAGATTCTCTCTTTCTCCCTCTCCTTTTGCCCCTCTCCCCCACTCACGAGCTCTAAAAATAAATAAATAAAATCTTTTAAAAAAATGATAGGTATATTTGACTGTATAAATATTGCAACACTTGTGTAAAAAAATACCACAAAGAGTAGGGCCACTCATGGGTGCCAGTGATTTTTAGTAATCACTGAATTCGGGTAAAAGTAATCACTCAAAATGGCTGACATTGCAAGTATAGAGTTATCATTGAGAACTGCAAGTACGCTCCGGACTTCCCTGCGGTGCCTGGGTCTGGCCACCTGTCTGGGGATCTCTCACCCTCTGATTTTCATGGTTGGCAATGGTAACAGGCACAAATACTGGTAGAGTACTTCTATGTCTCAGTCCATAGTTTAAGAATCTTAAAAGTGCACAGAATATAACGAGAGTTCACATGTGTATGAATTATTTGTGTAACAAAAAAAAAAGGAAGGGGAGAAGCAACTACACCTCAAACCAGAAGTACTTCCCCTCGAAACAGTCGTGGTAATATTATACCGTTGTATTTTGTTTTTTTTACTAAGCCTACATGTACTGGTTTAAAAAGTATAAACTACTTTATGAAAATATCCTTTATAAGAAGAATAAGGAAACAATTAAAAATGAAAAACCATGTAGCAATTATGTCTGATTGCCCCTTCTCCATCTTAGGAGAGAAATGATAAGAACAGAAATGCAACCTTGCAAAGGGACTCGTTTAAGTTTTTCAATTTTTTTTTAATAAAATGGCGTCAATTGCTGAAAGCATTATGGCCTTTGTTATGCTACATAATACTGGTATAAAATGTGAATAGTACAAAGTTCATCATATATAATATAAGGTTTTAATATATTACATTTGTTTCTACATAAACAGACTATAAATATATGTGCCATAGCATGTTTTACAGTCATGGTTCCCAGCATCTCACACTATGGTACCAAACGAAAAATACATTTTCTTTTTTAAAAAGGAAAGAACAATGGGAAGAAACCAGTAGAAATAGCTTGATGTGTTAAAAGTCTAAATAATACAATAGATGTTGTTAAAACTTTGGCTATATAATTTTGAAATCTGGCTAATAGTCATTCAGAGAGTGAACAAACCAAATCAGCTCTTACTAGAGTATAGAGGCCAAATTACTAAAATACTGTCTGATTGGGGTGAAAAGAGGGTGAAGGTTCAGGGAGGGGAGAAGGAACAAAGGAGTCAAATCCTTCCTGAAGCTTTGACACCACAGCTTGATACGGAACCTACTGCATTCAGGCTCAGACATAGATCACATCAGGACAGATAAGGGGGTATTCATCCAGAAGAAACCAGAAGCTGGTTTATATAGTCAGAACTCTTCGACACGACAGGGAGCCTCCGTCTGAGTGTCCTTTCTTTATGGGGTTCTGAATAAAGGATCGGCCTGGGAGACTAAGAGCCAGAGCTGCAGCATTTCCTTCCTGGGGCTTGGCCAGGAGACACGTAAGAGTCCGGAAGGAACTCTCATTAGGTGTCGGAAACAGCCCAAGGAGCTCTCCTTTAGCCCAACTGGGAAGAGCACGCAACCTTTTAAAACCAGTAACCTCATCTGAAGCCTTTACATTTCCTAACAGACCCCATGCCCACCTCCACGGGAGCCAACACAATGCATCTGCAGGCTCCAGGATGCTCTCAAAGCAAGCCAACCTCTTCCTTTCTGTCAATCCAAACCCCACACATAAGACTTGGCTCAGGACCCATATCCCAAACAAAGCTTAGATGGACTCAGCCCTAAAGGTCTTTCCCGTCTTCAACCCCTAAAGCACTTGCATTGCCTGGTTTATCTTCTGGTTTTACAGAGAGGTGTCAACTCCCCAGATGCTGCCACGGCGTGGAGGATGCAGCCATTTCTTGAACTTCTTTTGTCATAACCCATGGGGAGCCCCACAATAAGGGGCATCATACATGCTTTCTAAATGCATAAACAGAAGGTCAACACCGGGACAAAACACAAACACATTCTTGAGACACAAACATCTTCTCAGGAAATGCCTACGGGACTGGCTCCCTGCAGTCTGAGGTCCTTTTTTTGAAATGAAAATCAAATGTGGCTACTTCCTAGTGATGGAAAGAACAACACTTGAAAATCTGAGCAGCACCTCTCATGTGATTTCCAGGAGTGGGGGACGTGGGTGCCTCCTTTTAAACAGGAGGGGAGCTCAATGTGGGCCCAGAGTCAGGCTGGAGCATCTGGGCTGCACTGCCAACTTGCGGTCCAATCTCCACCAGCTTTAACAGTTCGGCCTCCTCGCTGGAGTACACAGTCGTGTCCGTGTCATCCGAGTGATACCCAGACTGGTAGCCACTCGTTTGGTTAGAGCCTTCGGATGCCACAGACTCCTTGCTTTTGCTGGGCATCAGTCCACTGTGGAAGAAATGGCAACCAAATGAGTTGGTGGAGAGAAAGAAGTTCTTTCCCCTCTTACCCTAACCCTGTTCCCGACCCCGTGTGGGCTGTAATCTCCCTGGAGACACCAGCCCCTATCTCTCCCACTTGTTAATCAACGTATCAGGTTTACTCAGACGATGTCTATTTTCAGGTACTAGCATGAGCTAGTGGTTTCAGATAAGTCCTCTTATTCAGGTCCAAGTCTTTCAAGCCTGTGATGAGATGAAAGGCAGTTCTCCTGAGTTATGTAAAGGCTCCAACCAACGGAGCATTTTTATGGCGTTGAAGATTGACAGGTTTGTATACAATGATACGGGGCTGTGACGATGTGAAAGGAAATTGGGATGTTCTTAGAGTCCACTTCTGCTTTCCTCCCAGTGTTGATTAGGGATTACAAGGCATCTGTACGGTGGTAATAAAGTTCTTGAGCAACTTTAAACTTGAATAAGTCGAAGCGTGTGTATGCCATCAAGCCAGAGTGTCAAAAACTGCTTTTTACTCATCAAAACCACATTCTTTGGAAGGACTGAGGACCTGGATCACTCAGCAGCAACTAGAAAATGTTTTCAGTGTTTCAGTGGAATCATGACAGACCATAATCATGTCAAAGCCTAAAAGTGTAGGCTGTGTTGATCTAAAAGCTTCAGGATTTACATTTTCTCAAGCCATTCTGAGGTGTGGGTTTTCCCCCCTGAATACGTGTTTTACCAAATTATTTGTGTTAAAAACTACAAAAAGGATCTCATTACCTCTGTGTCCATATGTGGTTTAAAAGTTATTTCAAATGACTAGAAGTGCAATTTTTCTTTCAATCCAACAAATGAGTTGAGTGTCTCAAACAATAGCATGGTACCTGGCACGTAGCCCCGGCTGAACAAATATATTTTAAATCAATGAATGAAACATATAATTGACTCTAACAATTTCTCACTTTGGACCTAAAGCAAACAGTAAAATTGCACAATGGCTCGTTTTAATTTTCTTTTTCTTTACAGGAACATCCCTTAATAACCCATGGGTGTTCCCATTTTATACAACAGTTAGATTATAAGTACATCAAAGTCTTCTCAATTCTCACCTAGAGTGAGTTCACTAGCAAATAAATAACTGCTCACTATCTCACTATTTTTATAGAGATTTTCATTTATATGTTAGGTTAAAAGCAGGTACATCTATTCAAAACAACTACAAATTCCTACAGAACCACATGGGGGAAATCATATTCAAAACCAAATTTAGTATTTTTCCCACAATTAAGCCAATAATAATAATAAGCCAAATAATTCAGCCAGTAATATTTAAGTATCTCAAACAAATAGATATTGGTTTATTTATGCATCATACTTCTAAAGACAGATGTGCTCATTTATGTACAGGTTTGAAAATTCTTCAGAGTCCACAAAGATTTTAATCATCTCAATTTGAGGGATTACATCCAATGAACTTTGTTATTTAGCCAGTACCATACAAACCACTGACCATATAAACATAAAAATTCCCGGGTATTCATAAATTCTCATTAAAACTGACCAAATTCCCTAATTAATTTCAGATTCTTTTTCAGATGTGCCATATAATTTATTTGTTTGATTAGTTTCAGTTATTTATTAATTCAGTTGATGTGAATTTGCCTAAGCAACAGACACAAAAAGGGAAAACTGCATCTACATTGAAAGTCCTAAGTTCCTTCCAAAAATTCCTGTTGAGATTTGTCTTTTCTCTTTGGCTGAGCCTTACCTAAAAGATGGCGCTAATTTGGTTCTGTCTTCCAAGGTTTTCAGCTCTTCTGATGCAAGGACCATACCACTGTCCGTCTGGTTGTCCTTTTTAAGAAATAAGGAGATGGCACTGTTGATTGAGTGTGCACACTGACCAACTATTCAATTAAATTGATTTCTTAACCCATCTATCCGACAATATGCTCCAGTATTCCACGGAGGGAGGTAAAGATGGCATAGCCAGAAATTGTACCAGCTACAAGAAGAAACAACTGCTTCCTAGTAGTAAACTCAGGCCTGGAAGAAAAGTATTTAGGAAGAAGCAGCTGAGGAGACCTGTTGCCATCCCTCTTTTCACAGTGATACTATTTACACTTGAGTGGAATTGGGCATGAAGCTAGACTATCTGGAACCTTGGACCAGGGGCTGTCTTTATGGAAAATCCAGCGGCGGGGGGGGAGGGGAAGGGACTGATCAGTTCCATCTCCATAATGACCCCATGACACATACCTTTATAATGAGGCTCCAAGACTCTAATGCTTAGGCTAATATTTATCTAGCTAATGTTTCATCCTTTGTGTTATTTTTAAGACTATTTTTAAGAGATGTACTTACATCTGGGATTACTTTTACTTCTGGTTCTTCCAACGGGATATCTTCAAATGTTTTTACACTCACGGGCCGGCTCTTTCGCTTACTGTTCTGCAGATACTGGCTGCAAAAGAACCAATATTTATATTTGGGGGGTGGTATATTTGGCTGCAGAGACCAAAAGTGATACCTAAGTTCATTATCTTTCAACCACAAGTTTAATAGCAACCTTCAAAACATCCTTTGGAAAAGGAAAAACAAATCAAAACAAAAATCTTTCTCTGCTAGCACAGAGTGAAGGCTCCATTTCCTGTGAGGGCCTATTTAAAAGTATAATCTAAGTGAGGGGCCTCGATTAGCTCCTGTTCTTTTGAATCTTACTTCTGAGGGCCGGGGCTGGACTAAAGACAACAACAGCAAACTAAGTTATCAGCCGCCTTCTGCATGGTTTCCTGATTGCCTGAGATTCCTCCCCTGGGCTCTTGACATATTACAGAGCATTGAACATCTTTCTGGCCACCTCCAGAAAAGTTTTTCTAGATAATGCCCTCAGAGCAACCATTCAGTGAAAGATGGGCAGAGGAAGCACCTGGGGATCTCACTGGATCTCACCTGGGTTCTGTAAAAGACACTGAACTCGGCAGGATCTGGAGACAACCTCCTCCTTCTGCATGTAATAGAGGCTAAGGGTGTGTGTGTTGGGCGGGGAGGGGGGCGGCGCGCTGAGTCTCACAATCCCCTATGTTCAGCCCACAGAATTGCTGCTCTTGGGAAAAGGCAGTGGTTCAAGAGTCATGAGATGTTTCATCTATTTCAAAGTCTACCACTGACTACAAACTTGGGAAAGTCATGAATATTTCTATGCTTCTGTTGTCCTGTCTTTAAAATGTGTTGGCAATAGCTTTCCCTCCCTCACTCACAGAGCTATGTGGAGGATGAATGAGGTGGGTGGCAAGTGTTCTTAGAACGAATGATTCTCTATCAGCCAAAGCTTGTTTTCCTCCTTTGAATTCCAAAGGGTACCATTTTCCTTCAGGAGTTCAAAGAATAGGACTTGTCAGACAACATATCACCTGTTTCCTGGGGGCACTCCTTCCCTGCCATGTGGCTTTGGCTGAGTCTGATTCTGTTAAAAGCACCAACAGCCCAAGTGGAAAGAAGGGAAGTCCTTTTCACAGCAAGGGACAGCAAATTCACTCTCCACGCTTATCCCAGCATACTGCCCCCAATAGGCAGGCTTCTGGACATGTTACATATTCCTGCGTTTTCTATGACCAAGTGGAGTGAAGACACACTTGAGCCAGAGGAGAAAGGAAATCGAGTCTCCTTCCCCTGGAACCAGGAGGCTGGTTCCTCTCCTTACAGAGAGGAGAGAACGAGGTTCACCGGTGACATCCTCCCTCAGGAATCTCCACAAGAAAGAGGACATGATATATAAGGAGACAGAGAAAAACCCACTTCTCCTGAGTCCAGTCCCTAATGGTACTACAGTTAATCATTCATTGATTCACTCACTCACTCAGGAACCCTTTCCTGAGACTCCACCCCATGCCAAGCACTGTGCTAAATGTTCCTCAACTGCTCTCTCATGGCATCTTCATAAATGGTATCTGTGAGGGGTGGGTGCTATTATCCCAACTTCAGAAGAGGAACTTGTCCAAAATCACAGAACTAGACTATCTGGGTTATGAGCAGCCACTGAAGGATTTGAAGCATGAGATGGACAAAGTCAGATGAACCCTTTAGAAAGATGGCTCTGGTAGAGGAAGGTGAAAACAGGCAGTGAGGCCAATTAGGGGGCTCTTTTCCATGTCTCTAGAAGAAAGAAGGGCAGCCTGCCCAAGAGAAGTGATGCCCCACAGAGTGTGCAGAAGTAGATCGATTCCAGAGATATGTGGCATATAGAATCAACTAGAGGGGGTGAGCTTGGGCAATAATACAGCTGCCTCAGAAAAAAACAGTTGAGGAAGCTAAGACTTAAGGAGGAAATGGCTAGGACTGTGATTCGAAATTGGCCTTCAGATTTAAAGCCCATTGTTTTGCTTTGTTTTGCTACCCTACTCCACACTGACTCCCTTGGAAAAGTATCAGGAAGGAAAACGTAGAAGAGAACAATGGATATGATAGTTCAAGTCTTTATGAAGGACCTACTATGTGCACAACACTGCTCTCTCCCACACAGGCACTGACCGTGTGGTGGGACCAGTGCGGGGGAGAAGACGGACAAAAAAGGTGGAGAAAGGACAGTGTCACTTCAAGCATTCTGATATCACAGCCAAATTCAGGAACATCTAGCCAGGAGGCTGTCCCAGACATCAATCCGCAAGGAGCACTTAATCATCACCAGCAATTAACCAAAATGAAGAAAAATGATATGTGCCAAAACCTTTCTCTGGGAGAGAAAAGAAATCTTTGATAAGCTGCTTGGAGTGGGAGGTGAAACTCCCCGGGGGCAAATGATGGAGCAACCACAGATGGTCCCCAAACTGCCCTCAAAGAAAGATGAGTCCAATTAATATGTGTTTTCTTGCAGAAAGCATGCAAACTTGGGGCCAGAGCTGATCCACAGGGGAAATTAGAGACAAAGCAAAGTCTAGACACTAGTGGTCCATCCTTTTCACCCTTCCCCCACACACCTCTCGGCCTCTTTGCTAAATAAATGTTGAAGAAATATTTTTCAATAATTTAAAGGGGCAACAAATCATGAGGTTGGTACCCACAGTGATGTCTCTGTCCAGCTCTATTTATAATGCGATGAGATTGAAAACTATAAAGACGAAGCAAATGAGAAAGCCTCCTCAGCTTTTCTACCTGACTGGAAATGGGAAAAAGAATAGAACAAGTCTGCTGAAAAGTACCCCAGCCTCATCTCTGGTCTCCCCAGGGAAGCAGAACCAAACGAGAGCCTCAAAACCAGGTGTGCCGTGTGCAGATGTCTCAACGCTGCGCTTCTTTTAACCCAGATGATTAAAATGTGACTGCAGAGTCTTGTTTTGATAAAAGGAAAAAGGGTGGGGCGCCTGGGTGGCTCAGTTGGTTAAGCGACTGCCTTCAGCTCAGGTCATGATCCTGGAGTCCCAGGATCGAGTCCCACATCAGGCTCCCTGCTCAGCAGGGAGTCTGCTTCTCCCTCTGACCCTCCTCCCTCTCATGCTCTCTGTCTCTCATTCTCTCTCTCGCAAATAAATAAAATCTTAAAAAAAAAAAAAGAAGAAGAAGAGAAAAGGGTGGCAGAGGTGAAGAGGGGGTGCAGACAAAAGATTCCGATTTCCATTTTATTTTTCAAATTATGGCTGGATAAAAGAGAAACTGGACTGGAAAGACCAATTCGAAAATCACAGACAGAAAATAGGAGCCAGGCCTATGTTCAGAGTGTGGTATCACATTTGTCCATGCTTCTGGGGATAAATGTTAGCAGCCCTGATTTAGATCCAGCATCGCATTTGGCACTTCCATTACACAAACATGACTTCATCGACTCTCAGCACCATATGCAAAGCGTCCAAGCAAGCCAAGAGGCTGCCGCTTGGGTCCTCACTCCACCTGGTCACACAAAACCCAAGGAACAGAGTTCATGATCAAATGGCTTTCTGGTAAAGAAGGCAGTGCTGTTGTAGGAATAATTACCACACCAGAAGGCCAGCCGAGCTTGAACTAGAGGTTTTTAAACATGAGAGTGGCACTTTTGGCTTCCAGTTCATTCACCTTTCTCTTTGAGGGTCCCTCTTTGCTGGGGCAGAAAACAGGACATAGAGAGAGAGATCGGAGAAACTGGATTCATCCTAGGGATGTGATTTTAAGCAGCTTGCTTAGTAGCTATCACATATCGAGGGCTCCCTAAGTGCCCGGCACATAGAAATATGTTATACCATGCAATTCTCAAAAGAATCATTTTTGAACACCAGTGTCTTCACCTGGGTCAGGATGAAGATGTGTGCCAGGTCACTAAGAGGGAGACTTAGTGGCCCAGCCAGTTCTATCTGACTCTAAAATCTGGATCTTTAACCATAGTTGTTTATTTCCACCAGGTGACTGCTCTGAGCCTCACGTTCAACATCCCCATCAAGAAGGATAAGAGTTTCCCCCTTGCGTAACTCTGCGAGGTATCATGTAGGCAAAATCTGATAACAGGAGGAAAAGTTCTTTGAAAAAATGCTAAAAGTTCTCGACACAAATGTAACCGGCAGCTTACGCGTTGGCGTCTACCCACTCCGGCAGTGTTCCTGCCACCCCATGTGATTCCCCAGAACAAGCTGCCCAGGGGGCCTCCTTGCCCACGACCTGGCGGCCTGGCTAACCTAGAGCTCCATGCCCCTCCTGCAGTCACAGCACACTCACGAGCGCAGGC